TTAATAAATATTAATTTAATTATAATTATTAAATTTAATAAGAGATGGTGTCTACTTCTAGTGCCAAATTACTCAGTATTTATTTATTAATAGTAGCAGTAATGTAGCCAAATTTAATCCAGCAATTGTTTGGCTTTAATATATAATTATCAGTCTTTTAGATATTTATATGTATGTATTGTACATAGTATCATCTGATCTTAACATCTGTCAATTAAAAAGTCATTGGTTTGATCTTAAACTTTTTATTTTGAAATATTTTAAGCTACACATATGTAGCATATATTAAAAATATATTTTAGAAAGCTTAAAAAAAATATTTAAAGTAATGCAAAAATGTGTTACATTAATTAATTAAGTAATGATGCATCACAAATATATAAATAAAATAAAGAATATACATCATTCTTGAAAATTATTTTAACAGAAATTAGAAATTATTATTGCCTCTACATTAGGAGAATAATATTTTCCTAAGGTAAGGGCAATCACATCACATTTAATAAAAATAGAATAATATTAATAAAAATGACACAAATGTTGACATGAAAAGTAAATAAAATAATTTTCAATTATAAGTACTTGATACTGAATTTACATTCAGTATCAAGTATCAGATTCAAATACCATTATTGAAAGAAATTGTTTAATGATTTATATTATTTTTCAGAAAAAATAATTTTGACTTGATTAATTGAACAGTCAAATTTAAAATTTCAACATTTGAAATTTAATACTACAGTAAACTGAAGTCTGTATAGAATCCACATGTTTTTTTTGAAAATGAGGTTGAAATATTTTGAAAATATTTTTGATAATAAACATCATAATGTATTATTTCTGTATGCAATAAACAGTAGAATTTCTGAATTAAATCATTTCTTTTGTTTGGTGTTATCTATAATTATACTATTATTATTGAATTTTTAGCAGTAATAAAATAATGAATTTTACATTTCAGATGTTGAAGATGGATTTAGAAGTAAAATTTCTTTAAAGTCACCTGTTGAATTAGACAATGTTACAATTGAATGTCAAGCAAATATATTTCACTATAATAGTATTAGATGGGAATGGTTTCCTTTAGAAGAAAAGAATTCATCAGACATAACAGACCTTTTGGAAACAAACTTAAGTTGTATCTTTTTATTACTTTTTAATAAATATCCCAATTATCTAAATGCAAATATAACTAAATATCTAAAATTAATAAATCTTAACATATTATACTTATAATTTCACAAAATTAATTAAGTTGAATATAATAAATATTTGAACTGTCATGATGATATTTTAAAATCAAGTGTGACTGTAATTATAAATATAATTACTAGATAATTGTGGTAAACACACATGGTGAGAGTAACCTAACAAAAAGGACTAGCATACAGTGTACAACAATGTTGCTTTTATTTCACCCATGCTTAGATTTTACAAGATTCTTTAAGGTTCTGACACTACTCCTTAGTTTTACCTTCTACATATAATTTCCGCAAAATCCTTGGGCGGAACCATTAATTAGAATCATGTGACAAATGATCTCACGACATACAAAAAAGGAAAAACTTATATCTAAATACTTAAAACTACTTACAAATACACCCAAAAGGTGGGTTGGAAGAAAAGATAGAAAGTGAGGCAGATGGATATATGGTGATAGTGGAAAAAGGGTACCCAAACTCTCCGATAACCACGTGGTGAATCTTTCTTAATTATTCGTCCAAATGGTATATGCAGAATATAGCCGATTCCATTCAAGTTTTCATTATATGTTTTCCAAATGTTCTCTTATCAAGTTATTCCAAGGTCCTCTAGGAAGTCTCTCATTAGGCCTATTGTCTCCCTTGTTTTACCTTGTTTCACACACGTCTTCTCTCTCTGATCGCAAACCAAAAAGTGTCCTCGTATCTCACTTTTAGCCCTCCAGGCTATCCCTTTCTATTGTCCTATCTAGGTCACCACCACCAAGGCCGGATTAACTCACTTTAGGGCCCTAGACACTTTCCTTTTACCGGGCCCCCTCCCTCTCCACAAGAAATAGAGCACACAAAAAATATAAAACAATAAATAAAACAAAACTAAATAATGTGAAAAACTAAAACAAATCTTAATTTTTTATTAATAAAAAATATTTAATCACTGTAAAAAAGAATAAAAAATGTAAATTATCGGAAGAATCTTATTTACAAATCTTTTCAAAATAGACAGTTTGACCGGGATCTTCTAAAATCTGGGCCCTAGACATTTGTCTCATTTGTCTATGCGATGATCTGGCCCTGACCACCACCTGCACAATTGAGAAGTTCCTGGAAGGTGATAAACAATGGAACAAAGAGCAGAGAGACGACAGAAAATAAGGAAAGGAAATATTACAACTATCTTAACAACTAACATGAAAATAATATACAACAATATGGCCGATGGCCACATAATAATAAATTAATCAAAAAATATATATATTACATTGATAACAATTTCAAGGTTACTTAATTAACAGAATTACTCATATACAAGGTTCTTATATACCTGGAAAGTCAGGGAATTTGCCTCCTTGGCTGCCTTGTTGAATTTTTGCTGACAGTGTGCTTGACAAAGTGTAGCCAACTGCAGACAGCAAGAAGTAAAGTGGTGCAATACAGCTTATGAAAAGTGATGCAGAATATTTTCAGGATCCAAAATTTCTCCCATGCATACACAAAATTTCCCCAAAAATTTACAAAGTATAAAAAATGATAAATAATTTTAATTAAAATGTTGTTGTTTATCATTTTTCATTTTAATAATTTTGATTACATAACAAAACAATTTTTGAATTTTTTTCAGTTTACTAATATTTTATAAAGTTCAGGAAATTTATTAAGGGATAAATTTAATAAATATATACTTTTGTGCATGAATTATATAGGTTTTGTTCATGAATAATAAGTAAATAATGGCTTTTTTTCTTTTTCTCAGACATATAGATTTATGATTGTGGATTAATAACAGATAAACTAGTTTAATTTAATAAAACATTTTATTTTTAGTTTTAATAATTTGGCAATTATACAAATATATAACTGTTAATCAGAAAAAATAATGAATTAAAAAGTTTGAGAAGCAATAGCTTATATGCATAGTAAGTCAAATACTGTTTTCTTTTGTCAATGTCTCATACTATAAGGCAGGTGTGTCAAACTCATCTAAACAATGGGCCATTTAATGCAACTGGTAAGATTTATGTGGGCCACATCACAATTACAAATTTTCTTAAAATTATAATTTGAATTGAGAAGGCAGGAATATAGATAGATGAATTAAAACACATTATATATCAATAGTTCAGTGAATTCAACTCAGCAATATATAATTGCTATAGTATTGCTTTTATTTAAACATTTATTTTATTTAATGTACATATTTATAAAACTAAATTAATTGTTTTTATTAGAAACTCTTGCCAGCACTTTCTTCCTCCTCCTAGTTTTTCAATATCTGGATTCAAAGACTGAGAACAAACAATCTTCATTATGGCAGATAGATGTTTATCAGTTAATCTTGATCTGTAAATCATTTATTTAATTTCATGCATGAAAATAATTGCTCACATAAATATGTACTTCCAAAAACCATAAAAAAACCTAAAACCTATAAAATCAGCAAACTTTTAAATTTCTGGGTATTTTTCACTAAATAGGAATATATTTTGGGAGTTCCCACTTCTCAATATTTCTCTAAAATAATTTAGCACCATCAGTTATTATAGAAACAGGCTTGAAAAGTCTTATTTTCTCTGCAAGATAAAATAAGCCTTTTTAGTGAGTTTTGAACTTGGCATCTCTAGATTGAAATTGGCTTGAATTTACTGGCGAGGTGCATAACCGCAGCCTGGTCTCCCACAGTTGACCAGTGCATTGTAGCATATAACATATGATGTCATAGCAATAACACGACAGTTAATTGCTATTTTTTTTGTAACATATTGTTCTGTATTTCATTTTATTGTACAGCATCGTAGCCGTGGGCCACAAAAATTCACATCAGGGGCCACCAGTTTTATACCCCTGCTATAAGGGATGTGAAGGTCAGAAAATTGGTACAAAGTTGGTCAGGGAAAGTCAAAATTGAAAACAAAAATTTGAGTAGGAACCCTGCATATAGTATTAAATCTAAAAATAATGGCTTGATTTTTAACATTATTTCTTCTTACTAAATAAACTCGTAGCTATAAATTTTTTTATTAACTTTTATCAAAAAATTAGTACTGATAACAATCTCACTATTTTATACTTGATTTATCTATAACAAAAGATCACTATTATGTAAACATTATTTGCACACTTCTTATATGATGTTTGATATTTTAAATGAAATAAATTGTAACTAAAAATTTTTTTATTACATTTTTAAGAATTGTCTTCTGATATGCTTTCTTATTGATGATATATCTGATATTATTTATAAATAATGATTAAACTATCTTCTAAATTCTCCCATTTCTTTCAAAAAATAAACAAATTATTAACACTTTTACTTCCTACAGCAATATACTAAAACTTTTACTATGATCTTATCAAAAGTTCCAGTTATGTAAAGTCTTCACCTAAACTAAATACTGTAAGGTCTCTTTTTATGCAGATTATTTTTGTGCGATTTTGAAGTTGTGCGGTTTGTATTTCATCCAAAAATTTCTTGGACAAACATACATATAGGCTTGTTTAGGAAGCCCACGTATAGACAGTCTCCAAAAATCGTGGAACGCTCAAAGCTCACTCCATTTGTTCCACTGACATTTAACGTTTATGGATGTAAAGGACAGCTAGATCTACCTTAATCGCTTTAGTTCCTAGCAATTTTTGATATAAATGTAATTAAACATAAAAAATACTTAAAACTGAAAAAAACGAAAGAAATGCGTTAATTTTGAAGAAAAAGCTTCAAAGTTTAACTTCCTTTGTCTCGCCCTTCTGTGAAATTTAACACCGATGAGTCATTGTTTACACATCTGGATGACCTTGAACACAGCTGGAGTTGGATTTCCCGGGGCATTCTCATAGACGTCGCGGGAGGACAAGGGTTTAAAGTAGGGTGAACACTAGCTGGCCGTATATTTTTAAATATTTTTAAAAAATTTGGAGACTTAAAAAACATTCTAAACATTAAAAAAAAAATTTCAAAAATGGCCTTAAGGACCGTGTTTTATGTAACGCTATGTAACCTGCCCGAGTTAACTCGGGCGAGGAACTAAAGGGGTTTTAATTAACTCTTCACATCCAGATGTCAGTGATTTGTTTTTAGAGTGAGCTTTTGCAATTCGGGGATTCCCCTTGTATTACTTTTCAATAAAATAAACTGAATTAAGTTTGAATACAAGTTTATTTTAAGCTTTTATATGAATTTCTTTCAGACATTCGAAGTAATTTATTAAGCAGCCTATTTCTTTTAATTTCTGCAAACTTTTTTATGCGGTTTTAAGTTAATTTTAACTCGTTGTTTTGGTTTTATGCGATTTTAGAAAATTACGGAACGTATTCCTACTTTTTCAAGGCAAGTAAAGTCTTTTTTTATGCGAATTTTTTATATACGCTTTTCTGTAGAACGTATCCACCGCATAAAACGAGACCTTACAGTAAAAAATTTGAAAAATTTAAAACATCATTTTAATAATCATGAAAGATAATCAGCATGATCTTATTGATGCTGATTATGCTTTACAATATTTTAATAGATTTAATACAGTAATACCTCGACTTACGCTACCCCGACTTATGCGAACCCAGAGTTATGCAATTTTCAAATCTCGTTGATTCATCTTTTGTTTGAGCACCACGCAACCCTTGATTACTCACTCCCCCCACACTATTGTTCTGTGGCTGTCGGCCATATATACATATGTATCTTAATTGTATATAGTATAGTTCCAATCTTTCTCTTTCCCTATTTCTTCTATTTCCTTTGTCTGTTCCTTCTAGAACCTTCCAAATGACTGTTATAGCCTTTGGGTGAGATTAGCCGTTCTTAGAACTGGAAAGAACAATAGTGGGTAGGATTAGTCGTGCTGAGAACAAAAGGAGAACGATAAACGGTAGAAGGGAAAAAGGCAGTCGTCGACGAGACTCGGGGAGAGCGAGACGTGTCGAAGGGACACCTGAACGTGACTTCGTAGCGAAGAACAAAGGAAGTTCTTGGGAGAATCGAGTGACGGACTGAGGAGGATCCATGATCAGGTCATAAGGCTTGTGGACACCTCCAGATAGATCGGAATCTTCAGGATTAGAGATCCGACGACTGACGTGTTTAAGAGCATAGTGGAAGCAAGAGCCACCGTCGTTGAGACAGTCCTACCCAAAGCGCAAAGACACCAGAACATAAGAAAGGCCCGGGTGAAGTTATCTCTTCTTTTCTTCTACCTTCCCGCTGTCCTATCTTCCTTGTCATTTCCTTAGTATTAAGTTAGCCTTAAGTTAGGATTAAGTTAGATTTTAGTTACGCGACTATAGAATATTAATTGTTACGCGCCGGTAAGATTTCGTACCGTGATTTATTGTAAAACTGGAAAGATTCCTGTTGATACCCCTCACATTGTAAAATTAAATTACAAAACAGTTGGGATTCCTGATGAAACCGAACCTGTTCGTATTGAATAAAGGAGAGTGTTTATAATTGTAACTGTCGTAGGTTCCTTTCTGTACGTTTCATTCATGGATCGTACTGCTTCAATCACACGAATACCACAGTTCATCTTACATGTTCAGATGTGTCGCGTCGAATTGACACATAGCTACAATTTATTTTGTGTTATTTATTTCTGTGTTTGTTATATCTACGAAGACTCGAGAGACTCTACTATGTCATCCAAATGAAGTAGAACTGATTCTTCTGCATCAAACAAGAAAAGAAAAACTTTATCTTTGGAATGTAAAGTTAACATTGGGTATGTTCGTAAAGTCAAACGAGTTAAACGAGAATGATGTCATCGTTATTCCTATTTCATTAGACTTTTCGAACGATTCGTTACTAATGCATTTAACTCGTTTGACTTTACAAACGTACCCATTATTAAAGACTTCGATACAAAAATGAAAATTTGTGAATTGGCAAAGAAATTTGATCTACCAGAATTGACGGTCAGAACAATTGTAAAAGGTAAAGAAAAAATTCTCGAAGCTGTGAAAAATGCTCAATCTTTAAATTCAAGCATCATTCGTAAACGTCACAGTATTATCGCTGAGATGGAAACAATGTTAAAATTATGGCATGATAATCAAGTAAATGTGAAAAATTGTAAAATAATATAGGCCTAATATAGGCATATCAAGTGGCCATGTCCACTTGATATGCTTGTTTAGAAGCCACTGTGTGATGCTTTTTACAATTATATTCAAAATATATGGAAGAAAAGACTATTTCTAATTTCTAGTTTTACATTTTAGTTTTCACTAAAACCGAATACTAATTTTACGTTTACTTTGTATCATATATTTTGGTTTACATATTCTTAGTGTTATACACCCATAGGAGTGGTGCACTTATTCTAATATAAAAAAAAAATTGAGAAAGAGAAACACCACACGGCCTTTCTCCCATGATAAAAAATGAGTCCGCTAGCGTTATTATTTTATGAGATGGCGTTAGTACAATGAACGTTCTTAATAGAAACGGCCAAATTGAAGCCAAATTCAAAACTCCACCATTCAATGAGATCAAAAAATAAGAATATTACGTAAGACGAGATCTATTACTCCCTACCCCTGAATAAGAAATCGTAAGAAATCCTTGACCCCCCACCCACCTCAAAATACCTTACGGAATTTATGGATGACCCCTTACCTTTAAAATTTTTTATAATAATTATCTTATTTATTTATACTGGAAAATGTTTTATAATTGATCCTGTAAAAATAACAATTTGAAATTTTTTTTATATTATATATTAATCCTTCNCACAGAAGACGCAGAGTCCGCACAAGTGTTCATCGAAAGAGCCGTGCCGCCGACACCTCCCGACAAGTCTCCTTACCTGCCGCAGCCCCGGGGCCCATCTCCGAATGACGAGAGACAAACATCCACGTCGTCCAAACAGTCGACTGTATCTAGATAATTCTTGTTCCTAGGTGTAAGTTTAATTTTATGTATAAAATAAATGGGTTTTTGTGAGATTCTTGTCATCTGTGTCTCCTCCGCCACACCCACGCGTACGACCCTAGATCATTCTGACGCGGGATTAACGATTCCCCCCATAAAATTATTATTTTTTAAAATAAATTTTATATTTATTTTATATTTTATTATTAAATATAGATATCAACATTTCATATGAGGCAACTTTATATTCTCATGTAATTGTAATTAATTTTCGTCCTATTTATGTTAATAATTCTGGAGTTTATATCTGTTATGGTCAACCCTTGGATAATAATACTGATGTTATTAGCAGTTCAATTAGCTTTGTTGTGAAAGGTAAGAATTTACAATAATTATAAAACAGTAATAATGTGTAATTATATGTAAAATTTATTAATTGTTAACTAATATAAAAAATATTCACTAATAGCAGTGAATTTCAATTTTACGAGTTGTAACTAAAATTGTACTCTTTAATAGAATAATAGAACAAATATTTTTTGTTATTCATCAAAAAGTTGTTATAATTTTTAAAACAATTAAAAAAATAATGTTAGCCGAGGGTAAGATCGAATCTAAATAGCCTGTGTGGCAAGTGCGTTCACTACAGACTCAGCCATTTCGCTGTGTTGCCATAGTGTAAAATCGACTAGTATATGAGCTACGCTTAAAACTTTAGAGCCCTTTTTCTCAGAATCTTCTGGTTAGTGCACCTTACAATTCTTCTGGGTGGACACCCTTGAGGTATACTACTAACCTGCGAAGTCTTATCTCAAGCTGAATTTTCGAGACTAAGTGAAAAGTTGTTGAGAACCATTTGGATATAATTTCAGTCTATTTGCACATTTTTCAGCAATATATTATAGTCTACTTATATAAAACATAATATTATGGTGTATAATAATTATATTTTTATTATTTAATAATTTTTAAAATTATTATTATTGAATTTACAGATATAATTAAACCAATGTTGATTTCAACAAATTTAAATGGAACTAAAGTAACTGTTAAACAAAATCAAGAGTATCAGTTTTTTTGTTATGTAAGAGGATCTCCATATCCTGTTATAAAGTGGTATCGCAATCAAAAGCTGTTAAAACATTCTGAATCAAAGGCAATAAAATTCAAATTAAGTAATCAGCGACTGCTTATAAATAGAGTTATTAATACGGATTCAGGATTATATCAATGCAAAGCAGAGAACAGAGGTGGTTATATTACTAGAAACATAACATTGCAAGTTATTTCAGGTTTGTCAAGAAATTATTAATAGAAAAATCATCTTCATTTTATTTATTATCTTTATAATAAAAAAATCATGACTATTTCAGATGAGAAAAATGAAGATAAAAATTTTAAAATTTCAAAACTGAATGTTATTATTATTGTATGTGTATTTATTACTGCAATTGTTTTTGTAATAGTGGGTGTAATTGGAACAAAAATATATAGGAAAAAAGTAAGTATCTTATATTTTATAAAAGAATCAATATAGCACCAATCAATCAATCTTTGCAGTACCTTCTCTAGTAGCTTATTAACTTCATAACAACTAACGTTTTTGATCCTTCAGCTGGATCATCTTCAGATCAAACATAAATGTTGCATTTTTAAAAAGTTATGTTCTTCATAATATGATTGTACCTTACTACTATAAGACAAGTATTGGTATCATGCCCACTACTTCCATTATACAAACAAACATCATCCCAATATTTCCATTATCCATTTCTTTATCTTCTGCATAATTTATCCCTTCGGTTAATGTTACGTATGGTTCCAAAATGGCTATGCTTTTGACTGTTCAGGGTCCAGATGGACTCCTCCCAGAGGGGAGCCTCCGGCAGGCCACTGAGTGCCAAATGTCACTAGTTATTGATTCACGGTAGTTCTTGAATAAAATAAATAAATAAAAAAAAAGGAAACATCTGTTAAAAATGTAGTTAATCTAACAGAAACGAAATGAACCTAACCAAAGTGCAGCCATTTCGGAACCATAGGTAACATTAACCATCCCTTCCATTGTTATTTTTGGTATATGCTTTGGCCAATTTTTGGATAATGCCTTTTTGGTTGCAAAAACTTCAGGCGGTTACATCGCCTGAAGAATCCTTTAATGTATCTTTATGGTAAGTGCAGTGCGTGAAAGCCCACTTTAATTAATCATTCCGTTACTGGCCCTCTTTGTTAGGAATTGAAATGTCACCAATTTATATGAATATGGATCACAGGAGGATACTGGTATAAACACTGGCAGATGATCCAGTTTGTAATAAATGTTTGTATAGATGTTGCCCTCTTGAATGAACAGTTGTAGATCTAAGAAGTGGGCTTGTGTATTGCTGGATTGGTCCAGTTTGAAACTCAAGCCAAAATAGGTTGTTGTTCATGGCATCCCTATGTTTGGTTTAGTTTTCCAAATGATCAAATATCATCCATATATCGTTTGTAAATGTGGATATGAGGAAGAAAAAAGATAATACTTTTAGTTCCAACAATGACATCATGCAGCTAATTTAACCTGGAGACATGTTTGATTAATTGTGAGGACCCAAAAAATGAATTGAAATTAAATAATTATTATTAGAAATTTATTAAAAAGAAACTAGAAGAAAAATTGTCTATTGTTAAAAACCGATCAAAGATCGAATTAGTTGTGTTAGTCATATGAAACCGCGATGAGAGAAAAAAAAACTTTATTGGTGTAAACAGAACGTAATAATTTTAAATGATTAATTAATAATTGTAAACAAACAACCTCCAGTAGAGATGGACCTTTGAAAAGTCATTCATATGCACATAATTAGAACATAGAAATTTGGAAAAGAGGAAAGATTAATGACGAAAAAGGACATCGCGTCGTGTCGTTAAATTTCAAAAACGTCACAGACTAGACAACAATGGTGGAAAATATGAGCGCAAGTTTCAAAGTTCCATCGACATTTTGCAGCCAGAATAACGGATGGTGTCAAGTGGATTCTTCAAGGCGGATCTTTCTCGTGACTCGAAAAGGAATCGTTTTTCGCTTAGAAACAGACGAGGGAGCCAATCAGAAAACAAATTAGAGAACGGAGATTGATATAATCCCCGATCTTCAAGGACAGAGGGACTTCTTCCGTAAACTGTGCTACGGAGTACCTGCACTCCAAAAAGTCCGAAGCGAAAACTCACTGTGTGTCGACGCACAGAAGACGAAGAGTCCGCACTAGTGTCCATCGAGAGAGCCATGCCGCCGACGCCTACCGACAAGTCTCCTTATCTGCCGCAGCCCCGGGGCCCATCTCCGAGTGACGATAGATAAACATCCACGACGTCCAAACAGTCGATTGTATCTAGACAATATTTGTTCCTAGGTGTAAGTTTAATTTTATGTATAAAATAAATGGGTTTTTGTGAGATTCTTGTCATCTGTGTCTCCTCCGCCACACCCACGCGTACAACCCTAGATCATTCTGACGCGGGATTAACGATTCCCCCCAGGAAGTCGGCGAACTTACATAATGGAACTTTTTAAAAAATGCAATGTTAATGTTTGACCTGAAGAAGATCCAGCTGAAAGATCAAAAACATTAGTTGTTATCAAGTTATTAAGCTGCTGGAGAATTGTTTAGAAGGTACTGCAAATAAGGTTTGGTGCTGTATTTTCACTCCAGTATTAATAAGTGTGATTAGAACATAAAGAATCAATAAACAATTTCATAAAAAATAAAAAATAAAAAATTGCTTTATTATACAGATACTCTCAATTTTCAGATAACTCACACTTTTGTACATAATACCTCAATATCCTAAAATCATTTTTCATATGCCAAATTTTCACTTTTATACATTTTTACTAACAGACAAAACTTTCAAGCTATTATGCAATGAACTTTCTTCCAGTTTTTATTTCTGTAACAGCAAAATCATTTGTAAAAATTAATTTTTATTTTGTGTAAAAAAAAACAGAATAAAATTTTGTTTAATTTATGATTTTAATATTTAGAATAATGTTTTATGCATTGTAATATATTCAAAAAAAGTAAAAAAAGTTCAAAAAAGTAAAAATTTCCTATTTTAATAACAGAAGTTAATTTTTCTTTAGAATTGTTTAGAAGTTAATTGTTTTTTAGAATTTTACTTTTTACATTATATTAATTTTTCTTCTAACTCTGGAGGTCCATTTATAACATTGTTTAAATTTGGATTAAACTTTTGGATATTCTACTTTTATATAAATTTTTAAAAATGTATTACATCTGAAAATCAGATTATTTTTGTACCAGTACTTTATAGTTTTCTGTTTATCATATTTTTGTGTATAATCTGCAGTGGCATATAACCCATATTGGTGTATATCCTTCAGAAATTGACTAAATGAAAATAAAACCTTTACATAACCCACCTCAGTATATATGCTCTGTATTTATGGAGTAATTGTTGCTCCATATAATTCATAATTGCAATTTAAAATCAACATAGAACCCACCCATCATATAATCTGCTCTTCTTTCAAATTGTCTTTTAATTAAATTAAACACACATAATCTGTGTGTTGTAAGTTATGCACAAAATGAAAATTATTCTAATTATTCAGTATTTCAATAAATATAAACTTCAGAATTTTGAACTTTTACAAAATCTAAACAAAAGATGATAGCTCAAATCCATTTTTTTGTTGGAATCAATGATTGAAGTCATTGTTAAATATTCTATGACATTGATACATACAACGCATTGTGTCACAATGATGTTTTGTAAATATTTTTCCTGTTACATAATAAAAGGTTGGTGGTGCTGTTGACCCCTTGGGGAGCTGTTAGTGACAGTGACCTCATTTTACTCTCTCTTTTTCAGCACTGACCTTCATGAGTCAAGTCAGTGTAATCTTTGTTCCTTTGTCATGTAACTAGTTATGTGAATCTAACCAGTTTTTCCTAATCTCAAAAAAGCATTGTCCAGTCTAACAGTTTTGATAGTTGCTGTTTTTCAAACTTTAGTGGTTTGCTCCATATTCTCTGATTCTGCTCATATGATATTTTTACATAGAAGGAGAGTCCATTTATATCAATGCCTATAAACAGATTCTCCCTCTACTCAAGATGTGAACTTTTCTGAGAAATGACATTGTACTGTGAATGGCTTGGAATAAAAAAGACAGATAGACAGATTTACATAATTATTGCAGCAGTGTTGAATCTGTAATGTTGAATTCAGCAAAATTATTATTCCCAATCTCTGCATAGGTTTAAACTTTAAAATATTGCAAAATGAATGTAGTTTGGGTGAAAAGTAATAAAATGAGTGTAGGAGTATGGATTGGGTGCATTTTTCTGGCCTCATACTATTTCAAAAAATATCTCTGCATTTTTAGTGTCAGTTCATCATGCCCTATTATTTTATGAAATGGGTGCTGCACCCAAAATTCCAGAATTTAGTTATTATATAGAGAAGGAGCATTACTGAGAACATACAAACTTTTAAGAAACATGTTCAATTCAGTGTGTCTAATAACATCAATTAAAGTATAGATTGAAGTACAGAAAACAAATGTGAGAGTACTAAAGATGAAGCACATGCATTTAGTGATTTTGTGAGAAATTTTGGTGGAAGAATATGTCTGCAGGAAACAAAGGATTTCTTCATGTGTTTTAAAGACACTATTGGTAATTTTAGACAAAAAAAAATTATTTGAAGAACTTGTAATTGCAAGTTAAAATTGGCAACTAACCTGTCTTATCTCATAACTTGTACAATTTTCAAACTCACTTTTAAACATAGATGATTCACAGATTATCAGCACAAAATTATAGTAATAATTAGAGCCACACCCACGCGTACGACCCTAGATCATTCTGACGCGGGATTAACGATTCCCCCCAGGAAGTCGGCGAACTTACACTGGTGTCAGAAGTGGGATATTTTAGTCCCACTAAAATTTAAGTAAGTTACGCTGACAAAAGAATTTTTTCTTCAAAGTGGGTCGAAGATGGAGGCAGATGCAAGTGTCCCCACGCGACCTCAAGACGGTGGCAATAGCGGTTCTCTTTCCTCCTTTTCCGCGTTTGGAGGAATGATCCCGACCTTCTCGGGTGAAACAGGGCGTGTCACAGATTTTTTTGACACACTGAAAGAAATCGCGAGTCTAGCGGGATGGACTCCTAGACAATGCCTGAGCATAGCCAAATGCAAGCTCGCAGGCATAGCCCGAGATTTCGCATGGCATGACCTCAGCATGAAGTGCGTAACGGATTTTCAGACCTTCCAAAAGTTAATGGTTCAACGATTTGACCGAGAACCATATTCCATACGCGTACAGAAGTTTCACGCGTGCATGCAGAAAAGAGATGAAAGGGCACAAGAATTCGCAGTCCGATTGCAAAACCTTGCCAGCGCTACAATGATAGAGCAAACAGGCGCGAATGAACAGGAAAACTTAATTATCAAACGCTGTCAACAGCGAGAATTGGACGAAAAGTT